TCGCGCGCGGGTCGGGGTGCGGGGGCCCCCAGTATAGAAGACCCTCTTCGGGGTTCCAGGCCAAGCCGCCTCCATGTGCCGTGGAGACCCTCGCGACGGCACCGGCGGCTCCCTGTCCCACTGCGGCTCCAGCGTTGAGCCCTTCCTCGGCACCAGCCTCAGTGACCTTGACCTTGGAAGAGGAGCTGCAGGAAGCGATCCGGCGGGCGCAGGTGAGAGGGCGCGGGCCGGTGGTGTCGCGTCCGGGCCCGGGGCCGAGTCCCAGATTCACTCCGCTTCTGCCCTCACGCAGCTGCTTCCGAACCGGAGCATCGATGACATCTTGACGGGACAGGTGGAGCCCGACGGTAAGAGCTGAACTCCTCGAGTGGCGTGGGGCTACAGGAGGCTGAGGTTCAGGACTCCTGGAAAGGGGGAACACCTAGAGAGCCGGGGTCGGGTCCCCACCTTCCTAAGCTCACACTCCATTTCTTCCCCCGCAGACACAGTGCCTCCCATGCCCCTGGACTTCCCCGGCTCCTTCGACGTGCTGTCCCCCTCCCCCGACTCCGAAGGCCTCTCATCTGTCTTCTCGTCCTCGCTTCCGTCCCCTACGAACTCCCCGTCCCCCTCTCCCATGGACTCCTTGGACTGGCTGGAGGCTCTGAGTGGGGGTCCCCCGCTGGGCTGCGGCCCCCCGGCCCCCAGCATCTTCTCCGCTGACATATCTGACTCCAGTGGCACCAGGCTGTGGGACCTGCTGGAGGATCCGTGGTGATGGATTCTGGGCTTTCCAGGGACTGAGAACTGATGGGCATGGGGAGGTCACAGAGACAGACCCCCTGAGGGAGGGGTTGGAACAACCAGCGGCGTCAGAAACAACCCTCGTCTCCACCCCACCCCTGACCCACTGCTGACATGCCAGCTGCCTGCCTTTTGCCCGCCTGAAGGCCATAGTCTCCCTCCACGGTTGTGTGATTGGGGGCGGGAGGTTTCATTTGCTGCTTGCCATGACAAACACGCTGCTTGCTGCTTCCTTCAGAGACCTCTTGGATGTCTTCTTCCTTCATCCCACTGACCACGTGGCTGCCTGCCGCTGGCGTGTGTGGAAGGTGGTCTTTTTTTTTTTTTTGGATGCAAGAGAGGGGCAGGGAAGACGGGAGGGAGAATCGGGAGCCAGACGCTTGCCTTCTGGCTGGAGATGAGAAAATCAGAAGCACGTGTCTGAGGTCAGATTCTCTCGGAAGCAGGGGCCTGAGACAAGACTCGTGTGTCCGTGATTTGTTAAAGAGATGCTCCCAGGAGAAACCAAAAAGGAGTGGAGAAAACGGGAGCGAAGAAGAAGAAGACCGATAGGCGTGTGACGTCAGGTGAAGTCCCAGCCTCGGCCCGAACCCTCAGGGTAAATTAAGTTACAGAGTCTTTCTCACCTTGAGGCGGAGGGAGCTTAGCCTCTGAGGCAAAGGGAGAACCCTGTTTGGGTTTTTATCGCTGAATAACAAAGCCCCCCAAAACTTAGAGTCTTCAAATAGTAACTACCTGTGATCGCTCACCAGTCCACGGTCGACTGGGCTCAGCAAGGCGGTTCTTCAGTACCACACAATGTCAAACGGGGCCGTGGTCGTCATAGGGCTGCAGCATCCAAGATGGCAAACTCAGACGTGTCTGGACCCAACAGGACCCACCTGGACTTCTCCTGTTCTCTGTATAGACTCATTGCTCTCCCTCTTCATGTGGTCTCTCCGGCAAGGTGACGGACTCCTTATGTGGTAGCTCAGGGCTACTGCAAGTGAGCGTCCCTAGGGGAAGAAGCAGAAGCTGCCAGTCTCTTAAAGACTAAGCTTGGAACTGGCGCAATGTCACTGCCACCACATTGGTTAATGCAAGTTAGGGCACCCAGGCTGAATACAGGAGGGGGCTACACAAATGTGTGAATATCGGGGGCCATGGTCATTGGGGGCCATATTTGAGGACTAGCTACTACACCCCTCTAGTCTGTCATGGGCCATGGGTCATAAGATGGGGCCGGGGCACAAACTCTCAGTCACTTTGACCCCAAGGGCAGTCCTGGGAAGAAGGTCACAAGGTAATTCGTTGGGAGCGAAGTGTTTTAAAATGTAGGTTTTATTATCATTCAGGTACGGTGAGATCGACAGATGAGCAGGTGCTTGCCATTTAAAAGATAGTTTGTTATTCTCACAGATCCATGCCATGTAGCCATGGAGAGCCACATGGGGAAGCCCAGGGTCAGCCGGGAGGCAGGAGAGAGGGGAGTCCTGGGCGAGGGTATTGTGGTCGCCTCAGGAAGGAACAGATGAGGCAGGTTAAGCTGGCTTCGGGTTGGCTAGTTTGAATAGTTTCGGCAGGCTCTGGAGTCCCTAGTTTTCTGGAACGTGGCTCTGGGGTGATCAAGCGGAGGAAAAGTGGTCTGGAGTATAAAAGCTTGGAAAAGGAAGTGGTTGGGAGTCTGGGCTCTGGATTGGTCGGTTTGCATGTGAAAGGCACACTCAGGTGAGTTCTTTATTACCTCTAGGGATTGGCTAGTCCTGGGAGGGACAATCCCTTCAATGTCAGCAAAGCCCCGGATGTCTATGTACCATGGATACGAGGGGAAGAAAAGGCACGATTAATGTACACAGCACACAGTAGCCGGGGCTGGACGAACAGACTTGGTAAGAGGAATCAGAGGGGACCTGGGCCAGCCACCAACAGTGTCCGCTACGGGCGGAAATGGACAGCAGATCAATTACATGCAACAGGACCCAGAGCCAGTGACATCCCCTTGTCTTGTCAGTTTCCTGATCTGTACCTCCAGCCCAGCGTGGATGAGAGTGTTCACTGCACTTGTCCACGAACTGGACCTGGCATATGAGACGTGCCGATAAATATTAATCACCATTATTAGCTTCTGATTGACAATTCCAGTGCCTCAATGTGTGTAAACTCTGAGGACATCAGAGACCCACGATCAAAAAGCCAATGGAATGAATGCTTGTTCCGTGAAGCAGAGGCGGTCTTCGGTATTTTCTGAGCCCATCCGGTAGGATTTGTCCTCCTTCTTTTCCAGATGAAATCATTGAAGATCAGAGAAGGGGAATGATACACCCAGTGTCGCACAGCTGGGAGGCGTTAGGGTGGGGTTTTAAATCAGATTTATGAGTCCACAGTGTGGCTTCTCAGAGTTGGGGAAAGAAAAATACAACTACAACCAAGAACCTCGATCTCTGCTCTGACGAAGCTCAGACATTCATACCGAGAGTCCAGTGCAGGGTGATAGGGATTTTTGTGGCGGTGGTACACAGGACCGCGAGGCCGTGACTCCTGGCCGGAAGCTGTGGGAGGATGAACAGAGTGGTCAGAGAAAGGATTTATCCCGAGACTTAAAGGATGAGGAGGAGCTGGTCAGAGGATCCGCCTGGAAAACAGCATCCTCCTGGAGGCAGAACAACAGAGGACTGAAGGTGTGGAGGGTCAGCCGCGGAGGGGAGCGTGTGAGGTCAGAGTTCCTAGAGGAAGGGGTGGGTGACGGCCGGGTCTTGTGGGACCCTCGTGTCAGCCTGGTGGGAAAGGGGTGCCGTCAGCCCTGGGGACACCAGGAAGGGATGTGGTGGGCTTCCTCTGTCTGTCTTCATTTCCCTTCAGACACTCCTGTGCCTGTATCTCCCCATATCTGTCCCCATCTCTACCTGAATTCGTGCCCTTGTCACTCTCTGGCTCTATCTCGCCTGTATCCAGTGGAGGGCAGCCTTGGGCTAAGAGCCTGTGGGGCCTGTGGGCAGGCCCAGAGCAAGTCAGGGGTGGGGCGGCTGAGGAACTCTCTGGAAGGTGGAGATCTGAAGGGAAGCGTGAGTGGAGTATTTGAATTCGAACCCAGACCCTGAGGTTTGCATCCTGCTTTCTGCGTGGGGCCTGTCACCCAGCCCTTCTGCAGACGTTTCAGTGGCTCCCTCCTGCCCCCGAGAAGAGGGCTGGGCCAACCCAAGGTGTCAGGGAAAACCCAGGGCTGGGAAGCAGGAGGTCAGCCGGGGAGCCCTGAGCAGCCCCCAGGGGACCCCCTGCACCACGCTGCTATCCCATGGTCACAAGACTGTGCGAGAATGGACATTTATACAGGGTGAGACGAAACATAACATTTTCACAAGTTACACAGCAGTATTGCGTTTAAATGTATACGCCATGACCCAGAAATTTCACTTCTAATAATATATTCTAAAAAAGCAGTATCGGTACGCACGCACGCATAAAGCTTTCCCACACGACAGCCAATGGTCGCAGATGACAAGGACATTCTCCTTGCCATTATTTATAGTAATGAGAACCAGCAAACAACCTAAAAATAAAAACCTTCGGTTGGAGCATGGATATAACACAGTTGATCAACAGATGGGATCCTTCGCAACCACCAGAGGGATGAGAAAGATGTTTCCTACACAGCAGACGAAAAGACAAAAGCAAGTTGCCAGCATTTGTGGCATATTCCGTATCCGCAAAACACAAAACAAAGACATGACGTGTGACCTTTTTACACTTCTTCATTTTTATTTTTAAAGTTTTAATTTCTTTTATTTTTCTTTTCATGGCCTCGATCTTTTTTTCCTAGATGGCCAAATGTTATGCGTTAAGCATCCGTCTTTTCGTGACAAATTCATAATGCCACCCTCGACGTACGTTAAATTCGCTGGTGGCTTTCTGTTCATTTATGACTTTTCTAGGCAGTGCCTTCACGAGCTGGGAACAACGCACTGTTTTATTTATTGAGGCCCGACATTCTTTCTTAACATCTGGTAGAGCCTGCCCTGCTCAGTACTCTATTTTTGGAATTGTTTAAGTTATTCTATTGTTTAACTCTTTTATTATTATTATTATTATTATTATTATTATTATTATTGGTCTAAAGGGAAGCTTCTGGCCCCCAACTAAAAACGCGAGCATCATCTATACACATTCTGTGAAACCATAAAGTCATCCTACAGAGCAAGGAGCCATGGATACAACCCTAGGGAGTGCCAGTCCTTAGAAGGAACAGGCCGTAACCATGAACGTGACTTAGTTCAATGAAAACGAGCCAGCAGGCAACAGCCACCATTCAGCTGACGCTTGCTTAAGTGAAGAAAGTCCACGGGACCGTCAGAAACAGCCCTCCACCCTCCCCACTTTCCAAGGTACTGAATCAGTTTCCTAAGACTGCTGTGGCAAAGTGCCCGAGACCGAGTGGCTTAAACCACAGGCGTTGATTGGCTCGCGGTCCTGGAGGCCAGAAGTCCAAGATCAAGGTGTTGGCAGAGCTGGTTCCTTCTGAGGGCTGTGAGTGGAGCATCTGTTCCCTGCTTCTCTCCCAGCTCCCGGGGGTTCGCTGGCGATCGCTGGGAGTCCTGGGCATGTGGGTGCATCACCCTGATGTCTGTCTTCATCTTCCCACAGTGCTCTCCTTGTGGGCATCCTGTCTCTGTGCCTGAATCTCCCTTTTTCATAGTAAGGACATGAACATGTTGGATTAGGGCCCGCCCTAGTGACTGCATCTTGACTATATCTTCAAAGACCCTGTTTTTAAATAAGGCCACATTCACAGGTACTGGGAGTTAGGATTTCAATATATCTTTTTGGGGAACACAATCCAATTCGTAACAGCTGCCATTTTAAGCAGACAAGCCAGACTCTGATCCTATATAGAATATTACCATCCTGTCCTAGCTCAGGCCCCTGCTGGCTTGTGGTATACGACAACGCTGGAGGGCTTCGGAAGCTTTCCCTCACTCTTGAAAAGGGACCTAAGATAAGAATAAGCCTCGGAGAGAGGTTGTCTGCATGGGACAGCTGGGTATATGGCAGCCCTCTTGGGACCATGAGGGAACCAGTCTAAGAGGAGATAATAGCAGTTCGACAAGATGGATGGCGCTGGGGTCACTGAAGATATCGTCGAGCTGCCAAGTTAACTAACCCTGGAGATGTGCCTGATGCGAGACACATGAATACGTGAATTAAACTCATTAGTTGGGATTTCTGTAGCTTGCAGCTGGAAGCATTCTGATGCACGAGGGAAGGGTCCAGGTAGGTCCACTTAGTAATGTGCTCCTCATGCCTTGGGACTGATTTTGGGGGAGTCGGAAAGGGAAGAGAGGGTGCCGAGGAAGGGCTAACATCAGTACTTGAGTAACGAGGGTGGATCTGCGGCAATCCCAACCCATTCTGGAAGGAAGGCCGTCTCTGGCTTGGCGACTTTGAGGACGGGAGAGTCTGGGAGGGTGTGATCGGCCAGGTAGACGGTCTGTCCACCCACGAGGTAGGCGGCCCAGGTCCCGAACGTCTCAGTGGTCGTGATGGTGTGGTTACACTGTGTGAGTAACGCAGAGTCCTTGGCAGGGAAGCCTTCAATGCCATTGCTGGCAAACACCCCACGGCCCCCGGAGGCGTCCCTGTCCTGCCTACACCAGGCCATGCTGTTTCCGGAGACCACAAAGATGAGGGCGCAGGAGCGAGCCCGGGACCAGCCCAGGGTCTGCTCTAGGGATCACTGTGCAGCCACCAGCCTTTCCACACCTGGGCGTGACCTGAGGTAGCCCCCCAGCGCCCACAGACCCCCGCGAAGGTGCCTGGCAGGCTCTCACTCACCTGCAGGGCCCAGAGGAACTGCCGGGCCTCCTCCCACACATGGTCGTGCAGGGCGAACTCCGGAGGATCTCGTCGCAGAGGTGGTGGCAGAAGGTCCAGGAGCAGGGGTGGCCGGCGAGGCGCATGAACTCCCCGGGGACGTGGGGGTACCGCTCCTGCATCCAGTCGTCCGGGCGGTGGGTCCGCCACGGGACCGTGCTGGCCGTGGCGCCGCGCAGGACCAGGAGGCTGACCCTGGAGACGGGGCTGGCGCACTGTGCGTCCGGCCGCCCGTTCGCCCCGGCCACGGCGGGCAGGGTGGAGGACTCGCCCGTCTGATTCCCGGGGCGGCCTATCGCGGTGATCGTTCACACACCCCTGGTTCCAGCGTCTGTAACTCCCACGTGGGCTGAATCTCCAGCAGCCGCTGCTGCAGCGGTGAAGGTGTGAAGCCCAAGTAGTGAGCCGTGGGGAAGAAGGAAGGGCATGGCTGTCGGGGGACGGAGAGCAGGAAACAAACATTAGCTCGGAGCATGGAGGGCCTGGGGTGGCGGGTGAACATGGCAGAGCGTGAACAGCGGCACGGTTGTGCGTGCAGACATCGGGGGTGTGTGTGTGTGTGTGTGTGTGGATTTACTTTGTGTGTGCGTGTGAATGAGTATGACTACTCAGGCACATGTATGTAGCTTTGTCTTTAGAGTATGTTATGCGGGTGTGTTCACACTGGGTTCACACAGGTGTGTTCACAGCTGGGGATACGTGTGCTTGATGGGTGTGCACATGGTATGTGCATTGGATGAGTGCATTGAATGGGTATGTGTATATTTGTGTATAGTGCGTGTGAGATTGTGTGCATACGAATGGTCATGTGTACATTGTGTCGCATGAGTGTGTGTATTGTGTACATATACGTGCGTGCTACATACAGTGTGCAGGTGTTTGGGGACACCTGGCACATGGCTTGTGTGTATATGAGAGTGTATACGTTTATGTGAGTGTGTACACATCACGTGCATAGACATTGCATGCTTAGTTGTGCGCGCGTACGAACCGTGAGTATACATACGGTTGTATGTGGACAGTACGAGTGTATGAATCTACTATTTGCGGAGGGTCCAGTTTCTAGAGACGTCCATCTTTGTGTGTCCCACCCATGCCTGACCCCTTTGAAGGGAAATTGCTGGCCCATCAAGAACTCAACCACCTGACCTCCTGGCTCTCCCAGCCGCAGTGCACTCACTGGAGGTGGACACCTGGCTGGCTCGCCGGGGGCCTCTCCATTCATGGGCTGTGGCCTATGACAAGTGACCTCACGCACAGCCCAGCCTCCAGACGGTGTCGCGCCCTCGGTATGCGTTTGTGTCCCCCCGAAAAGTTACGCTGAAAGCCTAGCCCCCGCCCAGAACCTCAGGGTGTGACGTCATTGGGAACAGGGTCTCTGCAGACACACTTAGTAAAGATGAGGTCCCACTGGGGTGGGGTGGGCCCTTACTCCAACACGATGGGTGACACGGGACCTGAGAGGGGAGAACGCCACGTGACGAGAGAGGCGGAGACTGGCTTCGAGCCTTCAGAACAGTGAGAGAATAAGTTTCTATTATTTTAAGCTCCCCAGTTTGGAATATGTCGTTAGAGCAGCCCTAGGAAATGAATAGCCTATAAAGCACATTTATCAAATAAATAGGTGGAACATTCGATAAAGAAGCACAGGCAGGGGCTGAGCGCTGGGTTAGTTTGGAGACGCCAGGTCTCCAGCTGCCGGGACCCAGGGCCTGTGCTCTGGGCTCGGAACCCAGTGGCCATCAAGAGGAAGACACTGGGACCAAACGAAGCCGGTGTGACCGGGCTGACCCAGGGAAGCTGCCAGAAGCAGAGCAGCCACTGTCCTTCAGGGTTAACCATGGCCGATAGAAGCCGGCGCAGGACCTAACTTGTCAGCATCGCCGCAGGCGATTGATAATAGTCGCCGGAGCCTGCAGAGCCTGTTGAGATTATGTGACTGTTTTCTTTCCGGAAGATTCTCGGGCCTGTCAACTTGACCGGGGGCTGCCCGCCCACCACCCTCATCCCCTGGGACGTGACTGTATGGCGCCCGACAGGCCAGGGGTGCTAATGAAGGTTTCTCTGCTCAGCGGATGCTCGAGATTTGTCGCACGGCCCACAAGATCCAGATGAGGCGCTTCCTCCTCGCCACGGAAAGCGAAGCCTCAGTCCCAGGAGGTCCGCGTGGGACGCGCTGCCTGTCACGACGTCTCAGAGAGGACACCCGGCCAGTGGGGACGTGCGCACGCTGTCGCCGTGAGTGCCGACTTCAGGCTCCCACGCTCATCAGCTGTGCGATGCTGGGCAAGCAACGTCATCTCTCCAAGGAGCGACACGGGGCCTGGCACGCAAACGCATGCTGTCGGTTATTGATATTGCCACGTATAAAGAAAGGGTCCTGTTCCGTATGGGCTCTGGGCTGGGCCTGGGGGCATCTCTACTTTTCACATTGGGTGTACTGGTCATGGTCAAGTGTGGCTCTCAGACCACACAGATCCTAGAAGGTGGCACACGAATGGGTTGGGGGCAGATGGAGCTGTGCGGGTGGGTGCTGGCTGGGGAGGACGCTCTCTACCAAGCAGACTCTCTCCCTGGGAAATATGGAGTGACAAGCACAAGCAGGGTGGCTGGTGGAGTCGTAGGCTGGGCAGCCAAAGGGTTTTTAGGGCCCAGCGAGTGTGGCCATGTTAAGCCATATCTAAGAAGAACCAGAGAAATCCATGAGCAGAGCGAATCTAGCTCCGACGACAAAAAGTAAGTAGGACTCTATCAGGGAGAGGTGGAAGGTACCGTCGTGGCCCTGGTGGCTTCCTGGTTCCTGCATTTTCATTCCTGTCCATTTTCATTCCCGCCACAAGTTCCTAGAGACCCCGCCTCTGCCTCTGGGTCCAGATGAACCCTCTGGGGACTGGGGAGCAAGGGGAAGCCACCGCAATGAGGAGGGAGCACCCGGGGTGGGAGGACGGAAGCTTCCTGTGGGGTGGCTCCGTGCCTTCCTCCTAGGCGCGTCTCTCTTCCTTTCCCCGACTAGACTGTGAACGCTTGAAGGGCAAGGGTTAAACCTGGCTCCTCCGTTTGGTCCCTAATCTGCCGAGTATGGGACATGGGATAATGGGGGCCTGAGTGAAATTGTGGGAAGGCAGAGGATGACGGGAAGAAAGGGAGAGGGAGATGCAGGGAGGGAGGGAGGGAGGAAAAGAGGGAGGAGACAGAGATGGAAAAAGACAGTAAAAGGGATAGAGAGAGAAATAGACATAAAGAAATGGAGAAAAAGGCAGGGACGGAGCGAGAGAGAGAGAGAGAGAGAGAGAGAGAGAGAGAGAGAGAGCAAGCGCGCGTGCGCGCAGGAAATGAAAAAAAAGCAGATAGACAGACTAAGACTGCGAGAGAAAGATGGAGGCTGAGAGAAAGAAACAGACGAGAACTGAAGGACAGGAGGCGAGGGACAGACAGACAGAGGGAGAGAGAAGCCACTCAGGCAGGCAGGGTGGACTGTCCCCTCTCGGTGCCACCTCTAGCTCCCGCTCTGTTCCAGTTCTCTCTCCAAATTGTCCCTTTAGGCTTCTCTCAGCCTCAGCTTGTTATTATCAGGACGGACGCTGATCCTTCCTTCCCTCTGTGACAGAAGGGACAGTGTCTGTCCTATTCCCTGTGTATCCCCCCCATAGCCCTTGGAAACTGGGCTCGGCACACAGTAGGTGCTCAGGAAATACATACAGAAGGGATTGTTAAAAATAAGACAACGGGCCTCCAATGGAGTCATTGATGCTAAGCCTCACGTCACTAAACCGAGACTTCATGACAGTGTCAGCTTCTCCCAGAGAAGGAATCTTCAGTGGGTCGGTCAGGAATCGCCCGGTCATCACTCAGTAGGCCCTCTGCCTGAGAGGCCCCTGCTGTCCCTTAAAAGAAGTGACCTTGCCACACCCATCCACTTTTGCTAATATGAGTGTCTCCTCCCTGCTCCCTTCTGCCTATAAAAGTCTTATTTCTGACGGCTGCTCAGAGCTCCTTTCTCTCTGCTCCAAGGGACGCTGCCTGATTCGCGAATCATCGAATAAAGCCAGTAAGATTTGCAAATTTACTCAGTTAAAAAAAAAAAAGCTTTTTAAACAGAACGTGGCCGTGCCTTCACCTCCGTTCATTCGCCGTCTGGCTCCATGTTGTTTTATTTCCCTCCCTTTCTCATCGAGTCTCTGCCAGCATCTTCCTGCCTCCAGTTTCTCGTTCCCCTATGCCCGCCATTTTTTTAAAAAAAATCTCCATTCCTTGAACTTAGTAGGAGAAACAAATGCATCCTGGAAGAACAGCCCTTCACAATGGAATCTCTTAACCTCTAGGCTGGCAGCGCGTGCCCCTGAATGTCCCCTCGAAATTTGTTTATGGCAGACAGAAGGACAATAAGGCTAGTTTTGTTTGGGCAAAAAGAAAGGCGAGATATTCCAGAACAGTATCTCTCACCCAGGAAGGATGGGCCACTGCAGAGATGCTCCCGATTTTGACCCCAACCTTGACCTCCTTGACCTTGACGGAGGCTGGAGGGAGAGGAGGAGGAGCTGGGCAGAGCCTCACGGGGAGGCACCCAGTGTCTGCGAGCGGGAGCCCTCGCTGTGAAGTTTTGAAAGATTGAGGTTTGGAGAGAAGGTCTGTGAGGTTTGGTCGTGGACTTCTTACTAGCTGTGTGACCTTGACCAAGGACCTTCACCTCTCAGCGTTGTCATCCCAAAGGTGGGGCTGTCCCCAGAGCTGGGTGAGCCCAGCACGCTCCCATTTTTCTGAGAAAGGTTAATGCTACTATCTCAAATTTATGTCAGGCTTGGACCAAGTGTTCATGTCGCCCGTCCCCGACAGCACTCACTGTCTTGCTGAATTTTAACGACTCTGCAAGGTGGTGTGGACAAGGAAGAACTGGAACTTTAAGCAAACGTATCCGGTCGGGAGGGCCTGTGGGAGGAGCCAGGGCTTCTGGAAGTTCTCATACTCGCCATAATCCCGAGAACCCCACAGGAAGACCCGTATGTTACAATAAAGCTCTACGGTTCTAACTTCCTTTTCCCCTCTATAAACACCCCCATGTTGGCACACAGGCCGGAGTGCTCACGTGGCAAGCTGCCGTGTCTGCACACGCTGGGCCGGACTCATTCTTTCCCTTGAATAAATCTTTTTTGGTGATGAGACACCTGGTTGATGGTATTTTTCGGTCGACGGCGTAAACACGCCCATTTGAAAGCGAAGGAAACTGAGGCCCAGAAGCTGAAGCTGGTCAGGGGACAGGCCGCGTGCTGGGGACGGGCCAAGGCGGGGTGGGAGGCTGGGGAGGAGGAGGACGTCGGGAAAGTCCCTCGCTGACCTCTGTAGGGGAAATCTTGGGGAATGCCAGCAGCTGGAGTCAGGATTCAAGGCTGAGTAGAGGAGGGGCCTGCCTTTCCTGCAGTCCGAGGCCAGG